TAGCTCCTTTGTGGTTTTTATTTATTTGTTCCCTCGTTCTTTCTCGTGTGAGTGTCTTGAACTAGACTATAGCCTCTCTAGTTTTGCGAGAGAAACTAGACTGTAGCCTTGGTGTTTGTATACGGTCAATTGCATTTGATAAATATGGCCATTGGCCTGGACTTTGAATTGTCTTCCATAGTTGCCTACAAATGATGATTTCACATTTAGAGACAATAAAAGTGAGCACTAATTCTGCCCTCTCAAATCATTAGCGTTTTCGGCCGTCAGATACAGACTTTGGAGCAGTTTCGACCGTTTATCAACTCACAATCTGCCTGGGCTTCACTTGATAACCTAAGAATGCTACACTGGTTGGGCCGCTGCTCTCATAACAAAATGGAAGCTCTGGCGTTATTTGGACTATATGGGCCTCAGGCGTGCGAGTGGCAGCCGAAGAAAGCAGTACATAGTTTGTTATGTAAGTGGTTGTATACTATGGCATATGAGCACTAATCCAGCCCTCGTAGACCATTAGCATTTTCTGTGGTCGGATAGACTTTGGAGCGTTTTTGGCCGTTCGATCACACGAAATAAGCAGAGTATCACATACAATTCACCCCAGTCGAAGAGACAATATCACAAACAGTGGATTCACACAAGATTTTATTCAACTTAAGACTTGAGTATCCCACCGATAACAAGACACAAGTAGCACTCTTCAGAAGAGTTTACAGTCTGAACAATTGATTAACACAAAAATATGGCGTGGTGACAGACACATGACGATCTCCCGGAGAGGTTGCTCTAGCTAACTTACTATCAGACTAATATAGATGCAGACATGTAATCTACCATCACATTGGGCTTTTCAACTGGGCTCGCACCCCTTTCCATCAATCTCTTAACGAAAATGACCAGTACATAGCAGTAATCTGACACCAGTCTGCCATCACTTAACTGACGTCCATCCGTTCAGTGTTATTGGAACAGACATCATATGCTTATGATGCTTAGCCTACACTGCAGCTGCGTCTCCGACCCGCCCAGGACGAAAAGCCCATTTTCTGTCATGATTTTTTGTCATAGAAGTAGGAGCCCACTACATCTACGATGATACCGGTTTTTGTCACAATTATCGTCATAGAAGTGTCATATGTATGACAGAAAAAAATTTCGTTCAGCCCAAAATGTCACGGATGTGTCTTTTTTTGTAGTGATGACTCTAGTTTGAGGAGTTCATGTATTCACTAAGTGTTAATGCTTTGTTTCGGTACTCTATTAAAAGGAGGCCTTAATATCCCTTAGTTTCCAATAGGACCCCGCTGCCATGGGAGGGTAGGACAAAAGATGTCATGCAAGTTCTTTTCCATAAGCACGTATGACTATATTTGGAATACATACCTACATTACATTGATGAACTGGAGCTAGTTCTGTGTCACCCTATGTTATAACTGTTGCATGAGGAATCGCATCCGACATAATTATCCATCACTGATCCAATGCCCACGAGCTTTTCACATATTGATCTTTGCTTAGTTACTTTTTCGTTGCCACTGTTACAATCACTACAAAACCAATACTGTTACTTTTGCCACCGTTACCCTTACTTCCATATTATTTTGCTACTAAATACTTTGCTGCAGATATTAAGTTTTCCAGGTGTGGTTGAATTGACAACTCAGCTGCTAATACTTGAGAATATTCTTTGGCTCTCCTTGTGTCGAATCAATAAATTTGGGTTGAATACTCTACCCTCGAAAACTGTTGCGATCCCCTATACTTGTGGGTTATCAACTCCTACTTAGATAGATATCCCTCTAATCATCTAAGTGATCACGTGATCCATATCAACTAAACCATGTCCGATCATCACGTGAGATGGAGTAGTTTTCAATGGTGAACATCACTATGTTGATCATATCTACTATATGATTCACGCTCGACCTTTCGGTCTCAGTGTTCCGAGGCCATATCTGCATATGCTAGGCTCGTCAAGTTTAACCCGAGTAATATGCTTGTGCAAAACTGACTTGCACCCGTTGTATGTGAACGTAGAGCTTATCACACCTGATCATCATGTGGTGTCTCAGCACGACGAACTGTAGCAACGGTGCATACTCAGGGAGAACACTTATACCTTCAAATTTAGTGAAAGATCATCTTATAATGCTATCAACATACTAAGCAAAATAAGATGCATAAAGGATAAACATCACATGCAATCAATATAAGTGATATGATATGGCCATCCTCATCTTGTGCCTTTGATCTCCATCTCCAAAGCACCGTCATGATCACCATCATCACCGGCTTGACACCTTGATCTCCATCATAGTATCGTTGTCGTCTCGCTAACTATTGCTTCTACGACTATCGCTACCACTTAGTGATAAAGTAAAGCAATTACATTGCGATTGCAATTCATACAATAAAGCGACAATCATATGGCTTATGCCAGTTGCCGATAACTGTGTTACAAAACATGATCATCTTATACAACAATTTATATAATCACGTCTTGACCATATCACATCACAACATGCTCTGCAAAAACAAGTTAGACATCCTCTACTTTGTTGTTGCAAGTTTTACGTGGCTGCTACGGGCTTAGCAAGAACCGTTCTTATCTATGCATCAAAAACCACAACGCAATATAGTGATTGCTTTTTGGTCCTCAAAAAGAACCATGTTCATTGAATCTGATTCAACTAAAGTTGGAGAAACTAACACCCGCCAGCCGCCTGTGTGCAAAGCACGTCCATAGAACCAGTCTCATGAACGCGGTTATGTACCGTCGGTCCGGGCCGCTTCATCCAACAATACCGCTGAATCAAGAAACAACTAGTGACGATAAGCAATATGTATATACCCACGTCCACAACTCCTTTGTGTTCTACTCGTGCATATAACATCTAAGCATAGACCTGGCTCGGATGTCACTGTTGGGGAATGCAGTATTTCAAAAAAATTCCTATGATCACGCAAGATCTATCTAGGGATGCATAGCAACGAGAGGGGAGAGTATATCTACGTACCCTCGTAGACCGAAAGCGGAAGCGTTAAGAAGCGCAGTTGATGTAGTCGAACATCTTCGCGATCCAACCAATCAAGTACCGAACGCACGACACCTCCGCGATCTGCACATGTTCAGCTCGGTGACGTCCCTCGTACTCTTGATCCAGTTGAGGCCGAGGGAGAGTTTCGTCAGCACGACAGCGTGTTGATAGTGATGACGAAGTTACCGGCGCAGGGCTTTGCCTAAGCACTACGACGATATGACCGAGGTGTGTATCTGTGGAGGGGGGCACCGCACACGGCTAAAACAATTGTCAACTTATGTATCTATGGGGTGCCCCCTCCCCTGTATATAAAGGAGGGGAGGAGGGGGGCGGTCGGCCCTCATGGTGCGCCTCAAGGGGGGATTCCTACTCCTACTAGGATCGAGGGCACTTGATGCGAGTGCGAGGGCGACGATGAAGGGATATGCTGTGACTAGGATGGGGATCGAGCGCACTCTGATCGCCTCGCTCGCTCGTGCGTGCGAGTCGTCAATTTTTTTCGTTTGATTCTCTGGCATGCGTGGGGACTACCTGGAGACATCGCTCCCTCCTAACGTGGTTTTGGTTGGTTTTTTTCGAGGGGATCGTTACCTGCGAGGTAGGTGGGAGGAGAGACGAAAATAAACCAGGCGAAGGGCGGGAGGTGAGACGAAAAAAAATGTGCAACGGAGACTACCAACTGCTCCATTAGGAGTAGAGATAAGGAATCTTCTCATTGTGATACGTGATCACGTGAGGGCGTGGCTTCGACGGTTGTGTTTTTCCCCCTAGTGGAGCTAAGTATGGAGGGGGGTCGGTGGGAGAAATAAATCAGAGAGGGAGGTGATCTGTTTGGAAGGTGATCTTATGTATATGGTATTATTTTTGAATTCTTAATTGCCAAATATTTACATGATTGAATTGAATCGACATATGACAAAGCAAGCGCGAATAAATGAAAGGAGTATCAAGCGTGATTCGATTTTAAGTGCGAAGAAGAAAAAAATAATGTGAGAGGGATGGTGAGAGGCGAGATGAAAATAAACCGACGAAAACTAACCAGGCGAAAAAAAATCATGAAAGCTATTCTACCAACTGAGACATTAGGAGTAGAAATGAGAATTAATAAATCCAAAAAACAAAAAAGTATAAAGAAATTAAAATTTAGAAACAAAACAAAAAATCATGATTTTGAAAACAAATCGATGGAAAAAGAAACAGTAAATAAATAAAATAACAAAAGATTGTAAAAACCCAAAATAGCAAAGGAGAAAAAACAAAATACTAGTCGGAAGCTTCTAGCCCAAAACCGGTACATGAGAGGTTGTGGCACTCCTCCTATAAAAGGCTGACTCTTCAGTTCTTTCGCCGTGTCATACTTCATTGCAAAAAAAAAACATACACACAACAACAACAACAACAACAACAACACACGCAATTCATAAAACCCACAAAACATAAAAAAGCCCATGCGAGATGAACACAAAAAGCAAACATGGCCCGCCAGGAGACAAACATGCGCCTGATAGCAGAGACGAACCTTTTGCACGTATCAAACAACAACTAATTAGGTGGTGACGAACTTAGATGTGCAATACTTAATTCTCATTTTAGCCTAAAAAACATAATTCTCATATGTGCTTTAACAAAACTGTATTTATTTCCGTCTCTTCCCTTTTTTTAGGAGTCTTTCCGTCTCTTCCCCTTTTTAACCAAAAGAAGAGACGGCCCGAGCCCATGCCATACACTATTGGGCCAAGCTTCAACACAATCTCCCCGAAGAGCCCACATGGGCTTCCCCGCATCCCATCCGTCCATCCACCCGGGCATCCTCGCGACCGCACGATGGAATGGAAACCCTCAAAGCGCACTATATATACCCCTCGCCTGTGTAGGGTTTCATCCCCTCGCGCCCCAGAAGCCCCGACGCTCAAGCCCCCAGACGCCGCAGCGCCGCCACTCCACCCGCAGCGGCAACCATGGCGGTCGGCAAGAACAAGCGCATCTCCAAGGGGAGGAAGGGAAGCAAGAAGAAGGCGTGAGTGCCTCCCCCACCCCGCTCATCCGTTGCAGCGTCGTGATCTAGGATCTGTTTCATCTCCTCTTCCTCCTTCATGTGCTGATGCGGTTTCTTGCCTGCTTTCTCGTGGTTTTGCAGCGTCGATCCGTTCACCAAGAAGCAGTGGTATGACATCAAGGCGCCGCTGCTGTTCACCAGCCGCAACGTCGGCAAGACCCTCGTGTCCAGGACGCAGGGTACCAAGGTATGCTCTCCCCTGCCTTGCATCTGCGCGTGCAGTGTTTGTCACATCCATTGATGTCTTGTGTCCCATGGATTAGCTGTTTGGTAGTATGCCTGCTCCTATATACGCGATTGTGATCTATATAGTCCTATTGGCATGAAACGGATTGAACCATTTTCTGAAGGTTGCGTTGTCGTGTTAAGTGCTGAAAGGCGTGATACACTAGCACTAAAATGCAATCGCTATTATTTATAAACTATACTTTGTGTACCCTACTGATAATAATTGATTTTATTTCGGGATTTACCATTTTGTCTCACCAATGTCTCTGGTGCAATTTGTGAATCAGCCCTTAAGTATGAAACCAAATCATGCATCTTGTTTCACACTTGCACAGTTTATTTGTAGTTGTAGTTATAGTCCACCTGTTTTTAAACTAGCACCCAGTCTGTTGATTAGAATCAACAATCAAGCATTCAAGTGTTGTTAGTAGTTTGTGCTTGGTCTAACTGATTCTTCTAACTGTGTTCCTATGTCGAATGTGTAGCATTTGACACACTGAATCTTTATTTCTAAGCCTTTCCATTTACATTCATCTAGGAATGTGTTTAATGTTTGTTGTTGTAAGTTGACTATTAGCTGACTGCACATTTCATTTTTATTTTAGATTGCCTCAGAGGGTCTGAAGCACAGGGTGTTCGAAGTATCTCTAGCTGATCTTCAGAACGATGAGGACCAGGCCTACAGGAAGATCAGACTCCGTGCTGAGGATGTGCAAGGGATGAATGTCCTCACAAACTTCTGGGTAATGATCTCTTTGGCATTGCCTGAAACCTGATGTTATGTTGTGTTTTTTCCTTTGCTAACCTGTTCTCCCTCTTGCCAGGGCATGGACTTCACCACTGACAAGCTCAGGTCTCTTGTGAGGAAGTGGCAGACACTCATTGAGGCTCATGTGGATGTGAAGACCACTGACAACTACATGCTCCGCATGTTCGCCATTGGCTTCACCAAGAGACGCCCAAACCAGGTGAAGCGCACTTGCTATGCCCAAGCAAGTCAGATCAGACAGGTAAATTTGTTCACCTTGCTCTTTTTTCTATCTGTTTATGTATTAAGTTCTGGTGATCATTGAGCTGATTGTTAACAATTCTATCTGTGTTTCTTGCTTGTAGATCCGCCGCAAGATGGTTGAGATCATGGTCAACCAAGCTGCAAGCTGTGACTTGAAGGAGCTTGTGAACAAGTTCATCCCTGAGGTGATTGGAAAGGAGATTGAGAAGGCCACCTCAGGCATCTTCCCCCTCCAGAACGTGTACGTCCGCAAGGTGAAGATCCTGAAGGCCCCCAAGTTCGACCTGGGGAAGCTCATGGAGGTAATTGTCTTGTGGCACCACCATGTCTACTGAAAATATTTTAGCTGGGCATTGGATAGACAGCGTTAATTGTTGTTCTCCAGTCTACTCAAGTTCTAATGTGACCCATGTTGCCTGTTCCAGGTTCACGGTGACTACAAGGAGGATGTTGGTGTGAAGCTTGACAGGCCTGCTGATGGAGATGAGGTGATTCCTGGAGCAGAGGAGGTTGCTGCTGCTGAGTAGAGGATAGAAGTTGCTATTTTGCTGCTTCATATCTAGAAGATGATATATGTGCCACCTGGGTGTCGTGAACTTTGTAGTCAGTTTTGATGGCTGATTTCTTGAGTACTTCTGTCGACATTCCTAGCCAGTGTTCCGCTATCTTATTTTGTTCGTGTTACTTTCTGGATGGAGGTAATGAGTTGAAAACTAAATATTTAGTTTATTCCTGTCCTGTGTTTTTATGTTTGAATAGAACTTGTCCTCTGTTTTGTTAGTTTATCTCAGTACAACTTTTTGTTTGCGTGCATACAAGATGTTTGCAGCTTGCAATGGCTCCAGCTCCTCCGAGCCAAGATAGCCCTCCGTCTTATTTGTAGGAGTATGAAAGTAAAATTAGCAATGTGCTCCCCCAGTTAGTGGCACAGAAAGTGAAGATGCGGAAAAGAAAATGGATCGTAACAGCCAATTTGGCGTTCGATTTTTGAGTAGTATTTATTGACTGCAATATGTACATACGCAAAAATGGATAGAAATTGATGTAGCGACAAGTAATTTGGGACGAAGATATTGTGACAAGGGTTCCAAAACTGTTGTTGCATCAGCAGGTAATTTTGAAGAGATCAAACTGGTTGGCATTAGATAAATCAAAGAAAATGTTGTTGGCTTTAGATAAATCATAGTTTCAATGAAGTGGCACTACTGACTTAAGGGCTAGATATCTGTGGAAATCTCTACTCCTTTGAAGGTGAAGCACTTTATGTGGCTAGTTATGAATGTTCGCATTCAGTCTGCTGCAGAATTAAGTAAACGTCACTGGGATACTGATTGTAAACTCTGGTAAGATGGAGACATCACAAAACATTCTCTTCACTTGTCCACTGCCTATCCAGCCTTCATTCATCAATCTATCATGATCGTCTTCCTTCCCTTTCCTCAACTGAACAGATCCAAGCCTAAACCTCCACTGCTTCCATCACTTGGCAGAGCAGGTCTTGTTTTAAAACTTTTCAGGTTAAGTGCAGAAAACCAATGAAATGTTCCTCAAAGAAAAGCTGGAGATATTCCTATCTGAAATCCAAAGCACTACTGGATCAACTACTGCTTTAACAGTAAAAATCAGGGTTGGCACTAACAGAGGGCGGTTGCACTGGTCTTTATGGATGCAGTGATGTAAAATTTTCATCTAATGGTGGGAATGCTCCCTGTGAGATGGAAACAGATTCTTCGAGCAATGGAAATTCACTCTACCAAGCATATCTCTTTCATTTATGTTCTTCCAATAGAACAAAACTGAATGTGCAGCACAGGGAGTTGCAACATTAACAGAAACACCTACACTCACATAATTTACCATAACTGCTCATCCACAAAACAAAATTGGTAAAGGATGTCCATCTAAGGAAATGGGTATACTACATTCACATAATTTACTGGTTGGAGAGCCAAGGATGCAATGAGATTTCTACAGCAAAACCTGTGCTACTTGGCAAGGCAATGTACTACTTTCTTTTCCTTTTTGATATCTGGCAAGGCCACGGGTTCCTACTGCAGCAAGATGGGCAGTTGCTCGGAGAAATCCTGAATAGGTGACAACTCTAGGAGCTCGTAAGCTGCCTGGAAGCAGTCAGCGGCCTCAAGCACCGATCCTTCAGATTTCAGGACGAGTCCGAGCCCCATCCAGGCTTGATGGTTTGTTGGCTCTAAGCGGGTGGCGCTGCGAAGGAAAGTTCTCGCGATTGACGATGATTTCGCTCCAAGAGTTCTTAGAATGCTTGCCATAGAAACCATGCTAGGGACATAGTCTGGATTGATGGAGAGGGAGAATGAGAATGCCTCGAGGGCTTCTTGGTGCAAGGACTGGGCCTCCAGTATCAGGCCTGGAAAAGCACACATGTTAGCGCTTCTGAAAATCATAGAGCAGAATGAACAACACCAAGTGTAGCAATTGATCCACAATATGAAAATGACAATAGCAAATCTAACACAAACATGCCTTTGGCTACCCATTCAGATATCTGGGATCACTGTTACTTTTTGTAGTGGCTCCTGACATGCAATATCATTATGTCTGTTACCCGCAAATATGTAAACAACGTTTAATTGATCGATAGTGAATTATAGCACTAAGCCAACAGAGTTTCAGGGACAAATCAAATCTCCTTAACGTCCACTCATCTTTGCTGTTGCTGACAATTTCTTGATGTCAAGTGAAAACAAATACCATTACTTAAGCACATGCAGGTAATATCAACCTCAATTGTATGACTGAGCCAGAACTCGAAGATGATAGCAAATAAATACAATGTTCTTTTGGAAATCTTAATATCTGCACATAGCTAGATTAATACTTCAACCATCATCAAGTATCTGGTGATCGTCATGTAACATGTACATCCGAGGGCAAACAAAGTTGGTGTTCATAGCTTTAGCTTGTTCGATTATAGCCTGTACAGTATGTACTTGCTTGAGGTTGTTTTGGCCAAAAATAATTTGTCCTGATATTATTCGGAGTGGTAAGGTTTAGAGGTTAAAAGCCGGCACACACAGTTTTGGTAAAGGCCGGCTATGGGTGTAAGTACCAACTCCAATGCTTATTAACTAATTCAGAGTAATTTTTTTATGTTAGGCATGTAACTTACTAGAATGACGGTAAGCATCAGAACCAGGTCTCATGTGGAGCACAATTAGCCACAAACGACAACTAGTCAAGGTTGTAAGAATATTTACCTTTGACATGCCAGCACTTTGGAGATAAGAAATCAATGGATTTTGCTTTGTCAAGACAGATGTTTGAGTCATTCCATGCTTCAAGCTTTGTGTATATTGATGCCAAATCTAACCATGCTTCCATCTCTAACTCATGCAGGGATTTAACCTGTGTAGGCCAAGTGGATATTAAAGAAAGTAGACACATGCTATCATCATTTGAGTTTCGGTAAGAAATGTAAGTGGTCGTACCTTATCATAAGGGGTCAATTTCCAGATTTCCTTCTTTGCTTGAATGATTGCAAGCAAAATCCTAAAAGATTCCACAGCAGACTTGAATTGTCCACGGGAGGACTGAATTAGTGCTTTTAGCCTCAAAATACCCATTTGATCCTCTTGCTCAGCCTCATCTAGTGCAATATCAGCTACTGATTCAGCTTCTTCCAAATTCTGCTGTGCAGATAACACTAGAATCAACAGCTTCCAGGTACTCACTGAACTTCCTGTCACCATTTCGAGACATTCCGCTGCACTTTCAATGGCTGCATTCAGTTTGCGCTGCATTGCATTTTCCCAAGCAAGGCTGTACAGTATTTCAGGATTATACTTCGCCGTTGCCGCAGCATCCTGCAACAGCCTCAGTGCATCATCTTGCAATCTCATTTTTTCTGTGTGAGAAGTGGATGACCTAGCAAAAGGTCCATAACAAACACCAAGGAAATGATTCACAGCACTGATGAAATGCATATCATGACTTCTGAATGACTCCCTGGCTTTATTTGCAAATTTTATTCCTTCAGAAGCATGCTTTGGGTTCTTACAACATAGTTTGGCTCCTAGAAGAAGAGATGGAATATGAGGTTTCCCCTTCCTTTCTAACACACGGAAACCATTCCTTATGATATTTAAGGCACTATCATCCATGCCAGCTGCACTGTAGCAAAGCGCGAGAACGTACCATCTTTCTGATCTGCTATAGGTTCCAGGTAACAACATCTCTAGATGCCTGGCCAAGACTTCATAATGACCAGACAATGACAGTGCGTACATCAAATGGTTCACGAGATCAGGATCCCACTTTATTTCTTGGAAGGTTAGCTTTCTGATAAGTACAAACAGCAGCAAAATTGCTTCCTCGATGTTGTTCTCCGGGGTTGCCAAGTTCCGTTGCTGACTGAACTCTTGAGGAGACTTCACTTCAATACCACAGTACAGTAGAGTCACCGCTAAGTCTTTTTGTAAGTTGGCGGACCTTTGAGAATCCAAATTCCAGGGCCTTGCAAGAGCTCTCCGATATGCAGTTATGGCCTCCTCAAAACAACCACTTCTCATCCATAGGTTAGGAAGATATTCTAGAGCCGAGTGGAACATGTCTATCAACTTACAGTCTTCGGAAGTACCTTCAGGAACACCATCCGGCCATGCAGACTCTACAATATCTATGATGGTTCTGCATTCTTCTGCAGCATCTGTCATGTAAAGGAGTTGGATGTAAGAGAAACTCAGATTGGATATTGCAGAGATTTTAATTGAGGCATATGCATATAACTTGTATGATGGACAAAGAAATATAGTATGGCCTTATCCAATGCAATTACATAGGTTTCTGTTTCTGTTTAATCCTATGAAATACTAGGAAACAAAGCCCTCATACATTAGACTTTTGTTTTGGCAAAGCTTCTAAAACTACTACGGCAATTTCAGATGATGATGCTAAAGTACAATGCAAGAAATCACATAGATAAGAACTTCAGTCAGTACCTGTCACTCTACCAAGTCTTTCCAAAGATCTCGCTTTAAGCAATATGGCTTCCAGAAGCAAACTTACAGAATGCATTGACATATGCACTAGCATTCCATTCACTTGTGAGGTTTTCCGTCTTGAAGAACGTGGAGAAACTTTAGGCTTGGCACTTTCAGTAACAGCACTGGTCATTCGTGGTTTGAGGCTTCTTATATCAATGCCCTGAAGGACTTGCAATGCTGCATCAAAGTTTCCTCTCTGATACTCCAGTCTACCCAGCAATGCCCGGGCCTCCTGTTACATAATCAGATAGATCCAACAGTGAGCAAATCAGCAATGTAATCATCTTCCTTGAAGAGAGAAGGATTCAGGCAAACCTCATAATTTAGCGAAAGAGTCTCTCTTAAGTCCGATTCCACTTCATTCACTTGGCTATCATCAGGCGTTGCTTCTCGTTTTCCTGGTCTCGAACAAGAACCACTTGCTGAGAAATCCCGTGTTGCGAGAGATTCCGGTGATCGGGGCATCTCTTCAAACTTCGATTGGTCCCCGCTGCACGTGCATAACATGATTGCAGCCATTTGCCCCCCGCGGGTAATTTTACTTAACCTGAATTAAAAAATGTAAGTTATCCTCTCTCTTAGGATCTTCCCTGAGGCCAATGGTATAGATCACAGAACCTGGCAAGAAAAAAATGAATGATGCTCAGTACACATTGTCATAAGGTTGCACTAGTTGGGCAACTAATCACATGAGCAAGCATATAGCAAGTTAGCTACAAATGACAGTAACACATCAAGACAAGCTAAATCTTGAAATATATGTGAAGCTAGGAAGAATTCCCTTTCCAGCTAAAATTATCAAATCATCTATGAAAAAGTTTCACTTCTCGGGTAAACAAGACGAATCAGACAACATTGGTAATTGCATGGTTTAGTGTTAGCAACTTCTTGAAGCCTCATTCAGAGTTACAGACATAGAACAATTATACAGGACTGGATATACAAAACAAGTAATCAGCAGGGCAAATATTCAGTGAGCCAACAGGAAGGCATATGCATGCTTGAGGAGGACAGCTGCAAATGTGAGCTCCCAGGAAGACCACGAGTCCAAAACCTCGTGTCCTACAAATGTCAGCAAGGACGTAGCGACACCGAAATCCTACTGGCAGCAACTGAGCAATGCCACCACCCATCACGCATTGCATGCACTGGTTCCCTCATAATCCATGAAGTATCCCTGACTCATAACGTTCCTGCTTCAGGAAGAAGCGGCAAACGAAAATAATTTCAGCAGTTCCTCCCACAATCCTGAGAAGAGCAGGCACAATTGATTTTGCAAAACTCACTGCTAAAATAAGGAAACAACTAACATGGTGGTGCCAGCAAAGCAGCAGCTCACAGTGGAATTAAACCTGTATAAACACACACACACACATCAAAGTACCAACTGAAACCCAATGACATTCTCCTTATGCCCTCCTTAGCTGAAGCAACGAACTCTCACATTAAACCAGTGTAACACATGAGCACAACATGTACTGAGTTAGCTACAAATGAAAGTAACACACAAAGACAATCCAAGTCTTGGAATATACATGAAGCAAGACTTAGCCATTCCCTTTCCAGCTCAAACTATGAAATCATCTCCGAACAATCTTTTCTTCTTGGGTAAACACGACGAACCAGAAAACATAAGCAACTACATGGTTTAGTGCTAGCAACTTCCTGAAGCTAGCAGTAAGGCTTGCTCAGAGTTACAGGCATAGAACAATTCTACCGAACTGGATCTACCAAACATGCAATCAACAGGGCAAATATTCAGTAAACCAACAGAAAGCCCCGCGAATATTTCAGGAAGACAGTTGCAAATGTGAGCTCCCAGCAAGACCACGAGTCCAAAACCTCATCTCCTACAAATACCACCATCATTTTCAGCGAGAAGGTAGCGACACTGAAATTCTACTGGCAGCAACTGAACAATGCCACCATCCAGTAGATGCACTGGTGCCCACATAATACCACAAAGTCACCTTATAACGTGCCTGCTTCGGGAAGGAACGGCAAACGAAAGCGGAATTTCAGCAATCGCTCCCACATTCCCGAAAAGTGCAGGTAAGATTGATTTCTCGAACCGCACTGCTGCGATAAGAATACAACTAACGCGGTGGTTTCTGCCAGCAAAGCAGCAGCAGTCCACAGTGAAATTAAACCTCCATAACACGCGCACACACACGCACGTCAAATTACCAACTGAAACCCCACGACAATTCTCCATAGGCCCTCCTTGATCGAACCAACCAACTCTCACATTCACTCAACCGATGAACTCACCACCAAGTGAAAAAACCACGCAACGGAGCAGAGCTTCGCCCGGGAATTCCACCCCGAGAAACCAACACAGGGGGCCGATCCTGCTTCCATTCCCCCACCCCGCAAAACCGACGAACGGCAACAGACACAGCCGCGAGCCCGCAACCCACCTCGACAACGCCCACGGAACGGACGCGACGCAGCGTCAAGCAGGCGGCGCGCAGCAGGGGAGCGAAGGCACGGAGGAAGATACTCGGGAGGGAGGAAGCAGCCCGTACCGTGAAGCGCGCGCGCGCGCGTTGCGGCGAGGAGGATCGCCCTGCGCGGCGCGGCCGACGGAGGAGGAGGAGGAGGCGGCGGGGCGGCGGCCGAGAGCGCAGAGGAATCAGAGCAGGTAGATTGGAGAATGATGGCGATGCGAGGAGGATCTCTCTCTGCGCGCGCCGCGCCGCGCTGCACACCGAGAGGGGAGGGGAGGTGGGCGCTCGCTTCTCTCGTGTCGTTGGAAGGCAGGAGGAGAAGGGAGGGGTCCGCCCGGTGTCTTTACCATTTTACCCCCCGTACCTTGTCCTCTGTACCTTCTCCCTGCACGTCAGCCCGCCCCGCCCGGTGCGTCACGCCCAAAGTCCAGACTCCAGAGTCCAGACTGACTGACCGAGGTAAAAAAAAAATATCTAGGCGAAAGCTGTGTGAACCTATCTCGGCCTCGTCGACGGAAATGGTAAACTAATCATCACCATCATCAAATTACTACTAGTAGCAAACTGAGCGTGCCCAGGAAACCAATCATCCTCAAATTAGCAAACGAGCGTTTTTATTAATTAATGCCGCACGAAATGAAGATCGATGGCCGTACTAGTACTACTGCCTTCAGTTAATGGATGGGCAGCGTATTCAATGGCCTCCTTTCCGCGCTGCCATGGGAAGGGAAGGACCCGGAAGAGCAGAGGCGTGCTTTGTTGACGAAGGAAGGCGGCGAAGCTGAGCGTGCCAGCGATCGCTGCCATGATTCAGCGGCTCCAACTCCGATGACTACAGTACATTGCTAGGCCTTGACATTTTCGACCCCCTTCCAGACCTGCCTCCCCGCTAGCTGCCACTCGCCACGCCACAGCCAACCCAGCCCACAGCCAGCCAGTAGTACTACTGCTACTAGTACAGACTACAGAGTGTTACTATAGACAGACAGCGAGTGAGGAGATGATGACGACGGCTTCTACTGGCCTCGATCGGCCCTCGCACTGCAGTTGCAATCTTGTCACGTTCCTTCTCTGAGACTCTCGGCGTGTTCTTTAGCCCGTGGTAATAATGGCCACCCTGCGGATCATGTGATCTCTTGTTCCCCGCAAGATGAGATCATGAGATGAGAGTTACTGGTCGACATGGGACGCATGCCGCATTGCAAACACATGCAAGTAGGGAATCGTGGATGGAAGAATCCTATGTAATAAGCCCAAGAAACATGTGTCCTCCTCTCTTGGGCTGGCTGGCTGGCTGGCTGGTGAGGAAGTGGAATCTTTCTTGTTAGGAGCAGTGTCCTCCCCCTTGTCATTTAGGGCGATCTTGGGCGCCGCGGTACATTTATAAATGGCGAGAACTAACCACAGAGTGTCATTGCAGGGCGCTGGTGATTCAAGGGCGATCGATTGATTGGGCCTCCTCTCTTAAGACTACCTGTACGAGCGGATACAGACGGCCATTTAAGCAGCAGCTGCACGACGTACCGTGCACGGCCAGCGGCCAGGGCCAGGCCACCACCATGGCAACATCACATCAACTCCTCCTCAAGGTACTACTTATACTCTACGGAGTACTACATTTTTCTCTAGAATAAAATAAGGGTATACCCTACCATCACATCGTCACATGCATTGTTTACCTGCTTTCCCCAGACACATGGTACCACTACCACACCAGTAGGCTGGCTGTAGGGTACCAGAAAAACCATTGCCCTATTCACACCTGCCTGATTCAACAACGTCGCCGGAGGAGACGCAGAGGGAAAAGGGACACTACCAGCAGCCAAGAGATGCAGATGACAAGCAAAGAAAACAGCATGATAACCAAAACTGGAGGCCAAGAGTAGAGTAGAGGGCCATCAGTCCAACTCCACCACGCGAGCCTATCCTGTCCGTCCCCGTCCGTTTGGAGTAAAAGGGACAAACGAGACGGCCCAGCGCACGGGCGCAAACGGACTTTTGTCCGCTTTGTGTCCGCTTTCGACCCATCCCCGGCCCAAAGTTGCGTCGGTTTTGGGGTGAAACGAACAGCGCGCGGACGGGCGGGACGCGCGCGCTTGTCCTCCGTTGGCCCGCCTGTCGGTGGGAGAAACCAACCCCCCCCACGCCCATTTGGCGCCATTTCCCCCAAACCCTCCCACGTCCCTCCCGCCACCCCCTCTCTCCCCCGTCCATGGCCGATGCCCCGCCGAGTTCCGGCGGCCTGGCCGTCGACCCGACCGCAAAGGTGAACAAGAAGGCGCCAAGGAAGTCGCGGTCGGAGTGCACGCCGGAGGAGATCGCCAAGTTGGACGCGGAATCGGCGAAGAGGAGGGAACGGAGAGCGGCCGTCAAGATCAATGCCGCCGCGGCCAAGTTCGCCGCCCAGCGCAAGAAGCTGGAGGCCGCGCGGCGCAAGGCCGCTGCCGACGAGAAGGAGGACCTCGTCAACAAAGCGCACGCCATCCTCATGCTTGGCATGGGCCGTCCAGCGGGGTTCCATGCAGCGGCCGTCGGCCCGGCGAGTACAGGCTCGTCGGTCGCCCGGCCTACGCACTGCCAGTCGCCGGCGTCGCGCGCCGCGCCCATGTCGCCCGACTTTCCTCCGCCCAGGCACGACGGCCAGACCCGTTTCTCGGCGTCGCCGGACGTGGGCTTGTTTGCGCCGTCCACACCACGCCCCGCGGCCGTCATCGACCTCAACGTCACGCCTGGGTCCAGCAGCGGCGGGCGGTCGTCCGTCGAGATGCAAAGAAAGCAGGCGCGTGCACTGTTCACGGGCACCATGCCGGCCCCCCGCGTGTTGTTTGACGGAATGCCATCCTCAACGCCGACGGTGGACGACCCCTTCTACAACCAGTACATGGAGGACGTGATCTTCCAGGGTGGGCATGGCCGTGCCTACGACCCCGAGGAGACCCAAAGTCAGGATGGCCGCGCCCAGTACGTGCCCGATGAGGAGGCCGACGACCGTGCTGACTAGGACCATGGTGATTCGTGGCATGAAGACGACGACATCTATGTCGAAGGTGAAGATGAAGATGAAGCTAATGATGTTGATATTAGTGGCGCTCCATTGTTCATAGACGAGCTCACCCAAAGAGCGGAAGCACAAAAGAAGCGGAAGAGCATTCGCACCGGTTCATATACACAAGATGAGGACAAGTTGATTTGTCAATGTTGGATGGAGATTAGCCAAGATCCAAGGACCGGCGCGCAACAAAAGGGCATTGTTTTTTGGACGAGAGTCCACAAAACATTCCATGAAAGGAAGATGTTTGAGCCCTACCAAATTGCAAGCAACCATGGCATCGGTTCGATTCAAAAAAAAATGGTTGTTCATCCAACAAGAATGCAACAAGTATTGTGCCGCATTTGAGAGCGTTGAAGCACGACCCGTGAGTGCTCTCGGCGTTGGGGACATGGTATGCTCTTCTCTTTCTAGCCCTTTCCTTGCTACGACCATGATACTTCGGCCGTGTATATGTTTGCATGTTCACTTGTTGTTGATCATGTGGTGTAGGCATTTCAATCTTTGGAGGCATTCAAGGCCCGACACAATGACAAGCCATTCACTCTTACGCATTGTTGGACGCTCATCAACAATTGCCCTAAGTTCAAGGATCAATACCGTGAACTTCAAAGGAAGAGAGGCAAGAAAACGGCCAAGTTCGCCGGAGGTGGGGATGGCGAGGCGTTGAAGAGGCCGAGGGGCAAGACCAACTCCAGGGTGGACGACATACGTGACGCCTCAACCATGGCCTTGCATGAGACTTTGCATGGCATGATGTCACATAAGGATGTGAGGGACGAGAAGAAGCGGCAAAGCAAGGACGAGCAAATGAAGCAATACCTAGACCTCCAAAGACAGAAGCTTGAGATGGAGGAGGCGACCAAGAAGAGGAAGATAGACATGGAGGAGGCGGCCCGGCAAAGGCAGCTCGACATGGAAGAGGCCGCCCGGCAAAGGCAGCTCGACATCGAGGCCGACAACGTCAAGGCCAGGCAGAGGCAGCTCGACATCGAGGCCACCAATGCCGCCACCAAAGCGAAGGAGGTGGCCCTTGCAATCATGAGCGTGGACTTGTCGAAGATGAGCGACACGACGAGGGTCTGGTTCGAGGCCAAGCGAAAGGAGATGCTCGACGCCGAAGGCCTGAACTAGGTCGTCCGATCGGCGTGGCCGTTCTTTTTGGAGGCTGGCATGGGTGCCGCCCGCCCGCTGGGCCACTGACAGTGTGCCGGCGAAAAAACATTCACTTTGGAGGCCGGCTGTGTTGCCGGCCGCTGGCTGTGTTGCCGGCGAGGACAACTATTCATTTTGGAGGCTGGCTGTGTTGCCGGCCGTTGGCTGTGTTGCCGGTGATGGTCGTGTAGGCCGCTGGCTTTGTTGCCGGCGTGATGAACTGGGGTCGTGAACTGGGGCTTGGCATTTGAAACGTCCCTTTTTTTAAAATAGACGCGGACAGGATGGGGCAAAAGAATGCGTCCGCACGGTGGGCGCACGACCACCACATCTCAGGACAGGCCCGGACACGACCCCAAATCCCTACTTAAAGGGACAAAAACAGGACAGAACGGACGTCCGTTTAGGGTGGCGCGGTGGAGTTGGCCTCAGGCTCTCAAGAGCTGTGCTGTGTTTGAACATGGATTCGGCAAAGCACTGCAGAAGTTCTGACGCGAGAGCGCCATCAGAAGGGGATTGATTCCCCATAGGGACAGGACAAACCCTGTTCGCTTTGCTGCTCAGATGACCTCGGAGCAGCCATCTTGGTGGTAAGTGCTGGCGGTGGTGGCGGAAAATGACTTTTGTCGTTTAAAGTTATAAATGGGCCAACCCAGCACATCAATGTCTCTGCCAACAGTCGCCCATAAAACAATTCAGAAAACATTCTACGAGGAACTGGAATAGTTAGCAATGTCTTCTTCCTTTCCCTGGATGGTAGGATAACAAAACTTGTGCAGCTCTGTAATTCTCCGAGCCCAGTCAGCTGAGCGATGCCCGATCGATATCAAATGCAAAACAACGGTTTAATGAATCGTTGCCAGAGGTTACAGATGCAACGCTTGCGCGCTCCTTCTGAAGCAGCATGAACTTGAGCTTCGTAAAATAGGTACACGTTGGAGGAAAGGCTTTATTGGGCTTCCGTCCTGCACTCCTGCTATAGCCTCACCTTCTTTGCCTTTATCCGCTTTGCGGCCATGTAAGTCACAGCAGCAGAAAGAGTGTACCTGGTAATAGCAAAAGATAAAGTGGTCACTAGACAGCCACCATCAACGGCATAACTAAGAAGTGTGAATGGCAATGGGAACCTAAGGGGTTTCAAGAATGTAACACTGTATGCTATTCTCTGATTTCTTCAACACATTCTTTTCCTACAGTAATTCCATTTGGTAGATGTATCCTATTCCCTCTGTTCCTAAATATAAGTCCATTTAGGGATTCCAATACGGACTACATACGGAGCAAAATGAGTGAATCCGCACTCTAAAATATGTCTATATGCATCCGCATGTAGTTTGTATTGAAATCTCTAAAAGGGCTTATATTTAAAAACGGAGGGAGTATAAGCCTTTTTTTAGAGATTCCAATATGGACTACATACCAATCCAGAGGTGATTTACAGCCCCAACCAAGTACCTTTTTCATCTGTCTTTTTATCAGCCTCTTTCACATCTAAAGTTTCACCAAGGTCCTGGTGATCCAGTATATTTTAGAATTACGGGACACTCTAAAATATGTCTATATACAACCACATGTAGTCCGTATTGAAATCTCTAAAAGGGCTTATATTTAGAAACAGAGGGAGTAGATCCTACAAAATGTTAGATCATGATAGAACATCCCATAATTTCGTAAGTTCGCACACCAGCATTATGCTATGGCTGCAAGTACCACACGCAACAACTCCAAAGACGGTTACTGGATGCATGATACAAGGTAGATTCATCCAAGCAATATGGCAAAGATACCAACTCATCATTCGAGTACTACTGTACTAGAGGTGCATAGCTTACTAATAATCTTTCCCCCCCTGCTATGGATAAGCAATTAATTCAGAGAAGAAAAGAAAACCGAGTTTTGCATGTTCAGCACATATGTGCTTAGACCATGGTTTTCGAGTCGATGAGTCGTTCTGGGTATGGTACTGAACTGTCAAACTATCATGGTATGGTACTGAACTGTCAAACTCAAGTCATCAGATAATAACAGCAATTTGATTTGTAGCTGCAATAAACCTCAAAGCAATTGTGTATGTCGGATACAGCCAGAAACTGCCCTCGGATTTTCTATGAAAAGCACAATACTTCTAGGTTCTAGTGACAGCAGCCCAAAGATATAACTGACACAAAATGGTATAATACAATATCCCTGATTAGATGACACATGAAAATACTATTATATATTCTGTATACCAACTGGAGACAAGGTTGATGAATTGTGGGCACTTACCATGTAAAGGTGTATTTCAGATGGTCATCTGGCATCACTGAGTGATGAATCAAAGCATTGGCATCTTTTGGAAGAGGATAAGGATTACTTGCAGAGATGTCTTCATTCATATCTTCTATATAGACAGTGTTCTCAGGGAGGCCACATGCACGTGCAATCATGGGAACATCCACGTAAAACCACTGGCCATTACTGGGTTCATTAGGTGGAACAAATATGCTGGGCTTCTCACTTCCTCGGATTACTCCAATAACTCTTACAGGAGGCTTTACAGGTTTTTCAATCTGTACAAAGTAAGATGCGTCAATTTTGTGTCTGCCAAGTAAAGGGTATAGTTACATCGTATAAGATAATGATGATATAAATAAATGAAATTCCTAAATATATAAAATAAGATACTCCCTCCGATCCAAAATAAGTGTCACAGTTTTGAACTAAGGTTAGTTCAACCTTAGTTCAAAACTGCGACACTTATTATGATCGGAAGGAGTAATGAATACCATGGTGGTTTTTATATGTGTACAAGCGTGGCACATGTATTGACTCAAAACCGACATAAGACCCAACAACCAGCTCACTTAGCAACCATTAATAACTGCATTTGTGAGATTAAAAGCAGGTTAAGTTAACAATTATACATAAAAGTTATCCTTTAATGGGCTGCAACACTGTCATCATTTAGAGAGTTCAAGAGCCATCGCACTCAGAAAATATCAACAATATGTAGCCTGATCAGATGAGCAAACTATTGATATGCATACGTTTGGTTGGGGCTGTAAATCACCTCTGGAGAAGATTCAGGCTTCTTAGACCAAAATTTCCACCAAGTACCTCTTTCATCTGTCTTTTTATCAGCTTCGTTCACATCTAAAGTTTCACCAAGGTCCTGGTGATCCTGCATGTTTTTATCACGCCAAGCACGAGGAATCCACCCTCTATTCACAAGGATGGGTGACTGCAAACTGACAAAACATTTCTTAGAAACAAAAAGTTTTAGATAAAATGGGAAGTGGTGAGAGGTTTATTTCTATGGTCAACACATTCAGCATAAGATCAATTAATTCTTATTTGCTGTGACCATGATTTGCGAGACAAAGCCCAACCAGTCTGAGGTAATGAGATTGCAGCTTGATCGCTCAAAACTCTGCAGGCACTGAACCTAGCATGGATATAGGTAGATATATTTGGCAGAAGCGGACGCTCAAGTGAAGGCTGCTTTAGTATTTTGAAATACAGTTTAACAACTAGGGTTGGTCCTTTAATAGACTCGTGTATAGCTTTCTTATTAATAATTAGTAAATGGGTTATCCACAATATGTGGAAGTATAGGAACTTTCATACAGAATTGCTTTCGTCGTCTAGTCTTTTACTTTTTTGCTCTCCTTTTGAAACTAGAGGTCCTTTCCTCATGGATTACTAATTAAGTGACAAAAACTTGTTCAGGAGAGCAGCTAGGAGGAGTTACACGACAAATATGTAATGCTTCACTTCTAGGCAACAAAACTCCAAATATGCAGAACCCAATATATACATAGCGGTTAATTTCACTATTTAGTTCATGCTTTCTCGCTGATTTTATCTTTTCCCAAAGATAACATGTGCAGGGGTACAAAAAGAAGTCAATTTAGAACAAAGAAGCATGAAAACTACTGACAACTAGAGTTCAGGTTGTGTTTTTATTCCTTGATGTGTTTGATACCTTGTATTGTGGAAGGATATGATAGGCATAATAGTAATCAGATTCTAAACCTGGCTATGGTAAAACTGGAAATGGCTTTTTGTTCAAGTGGAAGTGTAGAACTGAATTAAGACGTCAGCTCAAAGGAAATGAATAATGTGAAATGGAAACTAGAGTTTAATTGCAACAGCACAATGCTGCCTCAAACAATAATTTACCTGCCAGGCTCAGTCGACCGAGGTATCAACGGAGTGATCACATAATACCCATTTTCGGTCACACCGGAGATGCTCCGGGAGCGAGGCCCGACGAAGACCGACTTCTCCGTGTCGAAATCGCCCTCACACACGATCTTCCGGAACTCCAGCACAGCCGGATCACGCGAGACAGCAGAGGAGACGGTCTCGTTCCACGCCACGGGCTCCATCTCCAGCCTCCGCGTCCTGTACTCCAGCATCTCTACCTGGGATGGCGCAGGAAACGGCAGAGTGAGGATTTCCAGGGCTGAGCATGCGCCGTACGGCCAGACTAAGGAGGGGGTGCGTGAGCGCGATGTGACCTTCTCCTGCCGCCGGAAGAGCTGCCATGTGCCGAGGCCGAAGGTGATGGCGCCGGGGGCGAAGAGGAAGAGCTTCGACCACGCGCCCGCCTCCTTCCCTGCTCCTGCGCGAGGAAACAAATCTGGTTAGAATGCGGCGGCGGCGGCGGCGGCGGCTTGACTTCGAAGATGCTCTGCAGGACATTTCGCGAGGCGGCAAGGGCGGAGACCTGGGGGCGGCGGGGCGGCGGCGGGCGGAAGTGGTGGCTGGGGCGCGTGGGAAGTGGAGGGCCGGGAGGGGAAGAGGCGGTGGCCGCCGCTGCCGCGCAGCCGGAGGCCGAGGGTTTTGGAGAGCGACGCCGCCATGTTTTGCCTCTGCGAACGATTTGGGGGTGAACCGAGGAGAGGACTCGCCCGTCTGGGCTTCCGGTTCAGAACTCGGGATGACCCGAGGCGACAACTTTCCTTTTCCTTTCACAACGAAATTTCCCTTTCTCTTCAAATTTGGAAGACGTGTGATTCATATGTTTTTCTAAAAAAAATACTGGAACAGATATCCACATTTTATATACGAAAGTTAAAAATCCTCAGAGCAGGCGAAAAGAAACTATATTATGTATTCATAATAATGTAAAAAAGCACATTTAAATGATGGGAAAAGGTCAGCATCATGTCACGTACAAAAAAACATCTTTTGTGGCAATAAAAATTGATGCATTAGGACATGTTTGAGTGCTTAGAAAAGCGAGCACCAAAATTTGTGTTTCACAACACAAAATGTTTTATACAAAAAAAACTGCAAGCATGCAAGGACTCGAAAATTTACATGTATGATTTTTCAGAATTTTCTGACACTTGAAGTATTTATCTTGAATTTGGAGAAATTGGAGGAGCCCATGTTTGGTGCAATAAGTGCCTAGTATCGTTCAATCGCCCGCAGAATTCAGCATTTCATCAGATTGACCGGTAAATGCACAAAACCATGCAGAGATTTAAATTCACCAAGCAAGTATGCAACATCTAAAGACTTCTGTAAGTTGTATAGGCTTTTTTTTGTAGCAGCCCAACAGAGCACACGCGTCCAAATGCCAGATGCAGTCAACCAACAGATTGCTAAAACAGGTTACACAATTATCAATTATGAACACATAACCTTCCTGATTAAGACCTCTCACATAATTTACAGCCCCAATGCTAAGTAACATGCAAAAAACAGAGAGAGAATCTGCAGCACTTCAAACGCAACAAATCTTGGATCAGTTCTTCTTCTTTGAGTGCTTCACGAGCCAGTCGATGACGGAATCAATGTTGGTTGAGTTCTTGCATGATATCATGAAGCAGGCCACTTCTCGATCAGTCATTGCCTTCAGACCCCTGAAACGTAGCATATGGTTCGTCAAATAGGGTATCGATTGATGAGTAATTTGCATCAGTCCATAGTAGCTTCTGTGTGTGCTTACATCAATTCTGTGAAACTTTGCTTGGGGAAAGCTTCAGGCTTGTCGATTTTGTTGCCAATGACCAGTAATGGGATACCGGTCAAAGATGGCTTGCTCAGAAGGTCATGGAGCTCACTTTTGGCAATAGCCATGTTCTCCCGATCTGCTGCATCAACAACATACCTGCAGATGCAATTGTTTAAAAAATCATCAGCAATACAGAGAACTTTTTTCTTGTAGTTTGTTAAAGCCTCCAACAGAAAATACTGATCAAGCGTACATAAAAAACCCGATCCAGTTGCTATGCAGCTGGCTATCATAATATATATAGCCGTCAAGTGGGAATGAATCAGAATAGTAGACCTTCCAGCTTGCACAGCCTTCAGCATATAGATATGCTAGACAAATACAATAATCAGGAAAAACAAACAAGGAATCCTAGATCCAGTCTAAGTGAAAGGACTAATTAGTAATCACAGTCACAAGTCAAACCCACACTTATCCTTGCCATAAAGAGAATTATGACAACGAAAGTAGAGTACAAGATTCTTATAGCAAGTGCTTAGACTAGATAACTGAGGAAAAACGAATTTACACTGATACCATAACATCTGTGCCCCAAGGTACCCAAACTAATCAGGATACACTTTATTGGGAGTGAATGCCAATACAATGTCAATATGAAATTATTTAAGTTCTAGGATTTCTACCAGTTCAATTCACCAAATATATTAGTAGATAAATTTAATATAATTCAGCAGTGCATTTATCTGTATTGACGTACGTTACACGGATCCAGCAGGAAACTGACGTATCAGGGGTTAGATACGCCCAGATACAAGAATTTGTCTGGATACCCGCCGAAATGTATCCCATACGTATCCCCTGTTTTTTCTTTTCTAAATCCAAAAAATTAAACTAAATTGGACATTGGTGGGATACCCCACAATACTTGTCGGACACGAAAAAAACGGGAAAACCCTAACCCATGTGTCCATCCATACCTGCGATCCCCTCTCCCCTTTTCTCGTCTCATACCTCCCAACCTGGGCTTCGAGCCGCCGCCGCCGCACCCTCCCCTTAACTGCCACTCACCGCACAGGAGAAGGAGATACCCAGCCGCCAGCCCACCGCACCAGAGGAGAGACCCAGCCTGCATTGCTCCGTCATTCCCATCCCTAGATCTGAGCGCCACCACAGCAACCTCCCTGCCCAGATTAGAGCACCACCATCCGGCGACTACCTCTGAGCGCAGCCGCCGTGATCCCTCCCCGCATCTTAGTGCCTCCACCCCTACTCCCTCCCCCTGACCTGAGCAACACTCGTATGAGGAAGGAGGAGGACAGCATACATTGCTCCCTCCCCCTAACTGGCACCGCACTTGAGAAGGGAAGACTAGCAGCCACTACTCCAGCATTCCACTCACCAAATCTGAATGACATTTTCTTAGCCATGGTGAGTTTGAGATTTTACCCTATGTGCCCTTGCTTGTAAAAAATTATCTTCTCATTGTCTACTGTTGCGTGTGCCTCACACTATTTTAGGATGTGCTGGCAAATGATCTAAGCAACAGGCCTTTGTGGAATCATGTAGACATTATGGAGGCAGATGCATGGGGTGGAGGGAATGTCTGATTCAGATGTATTGTAAGTATTGTACACAAGAATATAGAGATAGCTACAACAGAGTTCAAGCACATTTGCTCAAGATATCCAAGAAGGGGATCAGATCATGCCCATATGTGACTGATCCTACTCTTCGGCAGCTTCAAATTGAAGTTGCAGTGGCTGGAGAAAACTAGAATCATATTTATGGTGCATTTTCCATGGTCCTATCACCTTATTAGTATTCCTAAACTGTCATATATATTCATATAATAATAATTTCCTATATATTATATTATATATATACACACATATCCCCATATCTGTGTTTTTGAAAAACTGACAAATCATAGCATCTGTACCCGTATCGCCGTATCTGGACAATATAGGTGTTAACCAATGCGTATAATTATTAATTAATCATACAACGAAACGAACAAAATGTGAAAAAAAAGGCATGTGCAACAACTAACAGCAAAGAAGTTATGCAGATTCATAAAATAGACAGTAAAGGAACATACACAATTGCAGAAACAGCACGGCAGTATCTCTCCCACATGCTCCGGAATCTTGGCTGGCCTCCAAGATCCCATAATTTTATAGTGACATTTCCTTTGGTTACCTTTCTCATATTGAATCCTACTGTGGGAATCATGTCTTCGCTAAAACCTCCTGTCTGCAGAATAGGCCGTTGATGGTAAATCAGCACAACTCCAGGAAATGAATAGTGACAAGAAAGCATGAAACTTACAGCAATAACATTCACAAGCGAAGTTTTCCCAGCATTTTGGAGCCCAATCAATGAAAGCTCCATTTCTTGCTTGAAAAAGAGGCTGTAGACACAAAAAAAAGGTAAATACTTGAATCAAGCTCCAATGAAGAAAATATGAGTAACTAATTACGTCTGTGCATTTATTTTCTTGGTACACAAGTCAAAACTGTGCTCTGCCACTTAATGATGGCATGTGCAAGGGATCCTTTTGAGCCCAAGCCCCTTGTTTATATATGTGTAAGAAGCAAAGCCTACATGGCTGGTAGGTAGAAATGAAACAAATCATAGCATACAGCCCACTGGCAACTCATTTTCATTCCAATGATTAGATTCCAAGAGAAGCATTACTGACGAGAAGCATTACTGACCTTGGGCTAATTCTACTATGAAAAATTTAATGGTATGCATTGACAAACTATCACAAACTAAACATTTAAGGAAGTTTATCATCACGAGGATGAACATTACGTGGTATGCGTGGTAGCCCTATCTTAGTCAACATAACGACATAACGAGTAGAATTTACTACTCCCTCTTTCCCATAATATAAGAGCGTTTTTTGACACTACACTAGTGTTAAAAACGCTCTTATATTATGGGACGGAGGGAGTACGCGTCAGTTACAGGTGGAACCAGATTTCTTACGAGTTCATTGAGCAGAACAGGCAAGTTCATTAATTAATGCACATTGGAAATGGCTTTTTTTTCTCTCTTGACAAGATAAGAGTCCATAAGAAAGCAGGATAACAAAAAATATTGACCATAGCTATCATGAGAAAATGCCGTACGACTTCTCGCCCTAGGCGATGTTAGCAGGGGATAAATTGACCCCATCACAAAAATGATAAGAACGAATTTCGTGTCCTTTCATCTCTCCTATCGATAGGCAGGCATGCACAATTAAATACTTCGATCGACATGTTCAATCAATAATGTGATCGCCATTTGTAGTCGATGGCGAGAAGTTCCGCCATACAAAGATACCACAAAGCACGCCTCAAAGCCACAGGACTCCATAATCTGAACTTGGCTCACGTAAAATAACCAGAAGGACCAACTTTCCTTATGATTACCGGCACTATTGGATGAGAAAAACAAATAACACCATGCTGCTGCTAACCAGCGTCACCTTCATACAGGTCAAAGCTTCCTGTCAAGTGCCAACCATCAAAAACAACTTCCTACGAAATATACGGCAGCACGAACATCGCTCAACCTGCCCCAGCAAGCATCCGATCCAGCGAGCAACCGAGGCATGCTAATCCTAGACCGACCCAGAATTCCCAGATCTCCCGCACGCGGACCCCCGCGCCCGTCCCGCAATGCGCAGCGCGTCGCACTCGAGAATCTGAACCCGCCCACCGAGGGCATACGCTTGTGGAACCATACCTGCGGAGCCAGTTGAGGAAGGCCTCCCAGAAGCCCATGGCGGCCGCGCACGGCGTGCTCCCTCTCCTCCGCAAAGAGGAAGGGCTGGACGGTCGCGCGGAGGGGAGGCGATGGCGGGAGGGCGAGGGCGGGTTGCGAGGCGGAGGAGGATTCGGTGGTGCGGGTGGCCGCGCTTACTTTATTTGGAGGCGCGGATGGATGGGGCGGAGCGACAGGGAGGCCGGAGGAGGAAGAAGAGAGGGGAAAGAGCAGGGTATTATTGGCGTCCACCAATCATCAGGCATCCCGTGGCCGGGTGGGGTTGGGTTGGGTTGGTGCCTTGTTTTTCTTTTATTTTTTTGATAATGTTATTTGGAGAAAGAATTGGTTTATCTACATCCTTTGTAAACGGAGTTTCACCTCCGAATAGGACTGTTGTTAGTTAGGACTCCTTCTCTGAGCGGTGACTAAGCAACAGTTTACTGTTTTGCTTTGCCGTGGCAAATGAATTTATGGAGTGCCGCGTCAAGGTTCAAGGAAGAGTACATGTAAACGAAAGTGCCTTTCTGCTCCCGAGCTCATTTGAGCTCGGTGAACAGTAAAATCGAAAAAAAATCAAAAAATTCCAAATTTTTTTGGGAGAAACATTGACAAAAGTTCTAAGTGCTTGCAAAAATTCATCATGAAATCACATTCCTGTAAAGCGTGGCAAAAAAACAAATTTAGTGCTCCAAAATGCTTTTGAAAGTAGCCTTTTCAGAGTACTGATTTTGTTTTTTTTTGCCACGCCTTCTAGAAATGTGATTTCATTGCGAATTTTTGCAAGCACTTAGAACTTTTGTCAATGTTTCTTCCAAAAAAAATTGGATTTTTTTTAAAATTTTTTGATTTAGTTTTGATTTTACTGTTCACCCGAGCTCATTTGAGCTCGGGTGCAGAAACTCCGCCTCCACATGTAAAGTGTAATCCATGTATATAAGCTCTCTTCTATCTTAATTTTTAGCTTCTTGTTCTTCATGTCTACACAAGTATTGTTATCTTCCTCCTGTTCCTGTGCACTATTGCCCCCTCGTCTCCCTCTAACCATCTCTACGGCCTTCACCTTTTTGTCCTCAAGTTTGTCACCAATGCACCTCCATCAATCTCCGACAACTCGATCAACATGGCTCGTCTTCACGTTCTCCTAACCAATTATGTTGTCGACTTGTCTCCTCCACTTCTCACAGTGATTTGCCAGCCGGCCTACGAAGATGCCAGTCTGCCCCACCCACCATGATGCGACAACGCTCTCTCGCCGCTTCATACTACCCTACTCAGTTGTTGATCCGACACCCCCTATTAGCCATATGTCTAGGTTTGAGGAATTTCAAACCTATCATCGCAACAGAGATGTTGGTGATAGCAAAAATGGTGTTGTCGATGAAAGAGCTCATAAAAACTCGTGGAGAGTAAGAAGCAAAATCAAGGGGGTGATTCATGAAAAAACAGCAATGAAGGAAGAAGAATGGCATGATATGGTAGGTGATGATTTTGGTTTCCAGTGTGTAGGCTAATAGTTGTAGTACAAATTTTGTAGGTACGGACAAACAAGGTGGTGTAACATTGGAAAATAAGCAATCTTAGCTTGCCACGTGGTGCAACATAAAGTGAGCGGGTGAGAGCACGGGAAGAGCTCATCAGGAGAGAACACAAGTGGGTCTATGATGTTTCCCGGGAGTTACGCTGAATTTACTCTAAATGAAATTCATACTAGAATGAGTTTTGAATGAAGATTCAAATTACATATCGTTCTCACATTGTATTTCTCTCAAGGATATTGTTACACTAAATTGCTCGTTGATATGTTTGACGGCCTTTTTTCTACTTTAGTTTTTCTAATAAGTACATCTCCACTCGCAACATAGTTGTCATGGTTGTACACTGCCCCGGCTAGTACCAAGTGCTACCACTAGCATTTTTTTGTGATAAAACTTCTGATCTATTCATCTTCAATCATGACAGTACAACAAACACCAGAAATAATAAAAATTACATCCAGATCTGTAGACCACCTAGTGACGACTACGAGCACTGAAGCGAGCCAAAGGCGCGCCGTCATCATTGTCCCTCCCTTGTCGGAGCCAGCCAAAACTTGTTGTAGTAGACAGTCGAGAAGTCGTCATACTAAGGCCCCATGGGACCAGCGCAGCAGGACAGCAACCGCCACCAATGAAGAGTAGCGTAGATCGGAAGGATCCAACCTGAAAACATATGAACGTAGACGAGCTACAACGCCGCCGATGGCAGTACAACGAACACCAGAAATAATAAAAATTACATCCAGATCCGTAGACCACCTAGCGACGACTATGAGCACTGAAGTGAGACAAAGGCGCGCCGCCATCATTGCCTCTCCCTCGTCGGAGCCGGCCAAGA